ATGTGATGCACTGTCTGACGGGGAAGTAGTGGGGGGCTGGGCATTCCTCATTGAAGACCATGTATGTTGCATTGATCCGATCTGTAGTAGACTATGGCAGTATAGCGTATGATTCGGCAGCCCGGACCTCATTGGAAAGGCTAGATGTCATACAGGGGCAAGGACTCAGAATATGTAGTGGGGCGTTTCGGACGTCCCCAGTGGCTGCATTACAGGTGGAGATGGGGGATATGCCATTGCAGATTAGGAGACAGCAGCTGGCAATGAATTATTGTTCAACCTACAGGGACATGGGGTGTCTTATCCTGCGAAATACATTTTACAGGCATGCTGGGAACATGAGCAAAGACAGAACACAAGCATTGGGTGGGTGGCTAATACCCAGGCGAAGGAGATGGGACTGTATGGAAGGGAGTTTAGTCCAACGGTAGCTATTCCTGTAAATCCACCATGGCTACTCCTGCCTCCAGTAGTTGATCTAGAAGTGTTGGAGAGACTACAGAAAGATAGGGAGAGTGTTGATCCACCTGATTTGTTTAAGAGACGTCTGGATACTGTGTATCAGGATTTTGTGGCCAGTTACACAGATGGTTCAAAAGATCCAATGACAGGACGTACTGGGTCAGCATTTGTAGGGCAGGAATGTGGGGTGGAAGTCAGGAAACGTATTACAGATCATCTGGCTGCATATACGGCGGAGCTAATGGCCATACTGTTGTTCTTGCAGTAGGTGGAGGAAGTTAAGCCAGACAGAGTTGTTATTTACTCTGATTCATGTGCAGTGTTAATGAGTCTCCAGTCCTTTAGCTCACGTAGCAGACAAGACCTGCTTTATGAGGTGCTACAAACCCATGGCAGGATTAGACAGATGGGTATACAGATAAGATTTACTTGGGTCCCAGCCCATGTGGGGGTGGAGGGGAACGAGGCAGTTGATGTACTGGCTAAACAAGCACTTATTAGTGGGGATGTTGATGTTGTAGTTTCAATGAGCAAATCAAAGGGTGAAAAGCCTGATATGGACAGTGATGGTGCAGAGATGGCAGGAGCAGTGGAATAGAGATACAGTGCCTTGCGAAAGTATTCACCCCCCTTGGCAGTTTTCCTATTTTGTTGCCTTACAACCTGGAATTAAAATTGATTTTGGGGGGGGGGTTGTATCATTTGATTTATACAACATGCCTACCACTTTGAAGATGCAAAATATTTTTTCTTGTGAAACAAACAAGAAATAAGACAAAAATACAGAAAACTTGAGCGTGCATAACTATTCACCCCCCCAAAGTCAATACTTTGTAGAGCCACCTTTTGCAGCAAGTACAGCTGCAAGTATCTTGGGGTATGTCTCTATAAGCTTGGCACTTCTAGCCACTGGGATTTGTGCCCATTCTTCAAGGCAAAACTGATCCAGCTACTTCAAGTTGGATGGGTTCTGCTGGTGTACAGCAATCTTTAAGTCATACCACAGATTCTCAATTGGATTGAGGTCTTGCTTTGACTAGGCCATTCCAAGACATTTAAATATGTCCCCTTAAACCCCTTGAGTGTTGCTTTAGCAGTATGCTTAGGGTCATTGTCCTGCTGGAAGGTGAATCTCCATCCCAGTCTCAAATCTCTGGAAGACTGAAACAGGTTTCCTTCAAAAATGTCCCTGTATTTAGCGCCATCCATCGTTCCTTAAATTCTAACCAGTTTCCCAGTCCCTGCCGATTAAAAACTTCCCCACAGCATGATGCTGCCACCACCATGCTTCACGGTGGGGATGGTGTTCTCGGAGTGATGAGAGGTGTTGGGTTTGCCCCAGACATTTTCCTTGATGGCCAAAAAGCTAAATTTTTGTCTCATCTCACCAGAGTACCTTCTTCCATATGTTTGAGGAGTCTCCCACATGGCTTTTGGCCAACACCAAATGTATTTGCTTATTTTTTTCTTTAAGCAATGGCTTTTTCTGGCCACTCTTCCATAAAGCCCAGCCCTGTGGAGTGTACAGCATTAAGTGATCCTATGGACAGATACTCCAATCTCCGCTGTGGAGCTTTGCAGCTCCTTCAGGGTTATCTTTGGTCTCTTTGTTGCCTCTCTGATTAATGCCCTCCTTGCCTGGTCTGTGAGTTTTGGTGGGCGGCCCTCTCTTGGCAGGTTTGTTGTGGTGCCATATTCTTTCCATTTTTTAATAATGGATTTAATGGTGCTCCGTGGGATGTTCAAAGTTTATGATATTTTTTTATAACCCAACCCTGATCTGTACTTCTCCACAACTTAGTGGTGTTGCAGACTCTGGGGCCTTTCAGAACAGGTGTATATACAATGGAGGGAAAAAAAGTATTTAGTCAGCCACCAATTGTGCAAGTTCTCCCACTTAAAAAGATGAGAGAGGCCTGTAATTTTTATCATAGGTACACGTCAACTATGACAGACAAAATGAGAACATTTTTTCCAGAAAATCACATTTTAGGATTTTTTATGAATTTATTTGCAAATGATGGTGGAAAATAAGTATTTGGTTAATAACAAAAGTTTCTCAATACTTTGTTATATACCCTTTGTTGGCAATGACACAGGTCAAACGTTTTCTGTAAGTCTTCACAAGGTTTTCACACACTGTTGCTGGTATTTTGGCCCATTCCTCCATGCAGATCTCCTCTAGAGCTGTGATGTTTTGGGGCTGTCGCTGGGCAACACGGACTTTCAACTCCCTCCAAAGATTTTCTATGGGGTTGAGATCTGGAGACTGGCTAGGCCACTCCAGGACCTTGAAATGCTTCTTACGAAGCCACTCCTTCATTGCCCGGGCGGTGTGTTTGGGATCATTGTCATGCTGAAAGACCCAGCCACGTTTCATCTTCAATGCCCTTGCTGATGGAAGGAGGTTTTCACTCAAAATCTCACGATACATGGCCCCATTCATTCTTTCCTTTACATGGATCAGTCGTCCTGGTCCCTTTGCAGAAAAACAGCCCCAAAGCATGATGTTTCCACTCCCATGCTTCACAGTTGGTATGGTGTTCTTTGGATGCAACTCAGCATTCTTTGTCCTCCAAACACGACGAGTTGAGTTTTTACCAAAAAGTTCTATTTTGGTTTCATCTGACCATATGACATTCTCCCAATCCTCTTCTGGATCATCCAAATGCACTCTAGCAAACTTCAGACGGGCCTGGACATGTACTGGCTTAAGCAGGGGGACACGTCTGGCACTGCATGATTTGAGTCCCTGGCGGCGTAGTGGGTTACTGATGGTAGGCTTTGTTACTTTGGTCCCAGCTCTCTGCAGGTCATTCACTAGGTCCCCCCGTGTGGTTCTGGGATTTTTGCTCACCGTTCTTGTGATCATTTTGACCCCACGGGGTGAGATCTTGCGCGGAGCCCCAGATCTAGGGAGATTTTCAGTGGTCTTGTATGTCTTCCATTTCCTAATAATTGCTCCCACAGTTGATTTCTTCAAACCAAGCTGCTTACCTATTGCAGATTCAGTCTTCCCAGCCTGGTGCAGGTCTACAATTTTGTTTCTGGTGCCCTTTGACAGCTCTTTGGTCTTGGCCATAGTGGAGTTTGGAGTGTGACTGTTTGAGGTTGTGGACAGGTGTCTTTTATACTGATAACAAGTTCAAACAGGTGCCATTAATACAGGTAACGAGTGGAGGACAGAGGAGCCTCTTAAAGAAGAAGTTACAGGTCTGTGAGAGCCAGAAATCTTGCTTGTTTGTAGGTGACCAAATACTTATTTTCCACCATAATTTGCAAATAAATTCATAAAAAATCCTACAATGTGATTTTCTGGAATTTGTTTTCTCAATTTGTCTGTCATAGTTGACGTGTACCTATGATGAAAATTACAGGCCTCTCTCATCTTTTTAAGTGGGAGAACTTGCACAATTGGTGGCTGACTAAATACGTTTTCCCCCCACTGTATACTGAGCTCATGTGACTTTATTTAACTAATTATGTGACTTCTGAAGGTAATTGGTTGTAATGCAACAAAATAGAAAAAACGCCAAGGGGGATGAATACTTTTGCAAGGCACTGTACTAAAGGCAGGCATTTATTTTAAGTACAGAGGAAAGTCGGGGAGGGGAGGACGGCAGGAAGGGACAGAAGAAAGGAGGCCATTTTTTACAAGATTAAGGGTGGGACACAGCCAGTTGAATAAGACCTTAAATGTGATAGGAAAGCATCCAACAGGAAAGAGTGATTATTGCCAGGAAACAGAGACGGTGGAGCATGTATTGCTACAGTGTGGGCAGTATCAGAGGGAAAGAGAGAATATGAGATCTACTGTGAGGGAGAAGGGGATACAGGAAATTAGTTTAAAGAGTATATTGAGTAGAACGTCATTAGATATAGTCTCAAATATTTTGTTATCTTTTTTAAGAGCAACGGGGCTGGCAGGTAGGATTTAGTTTCTCCCTGTCTCTGGCCCACACTCCAGTATAATAGGTGGCAGTAATGCCCCATAACGTTGGATGCCAACCGCCGATAAACCCCACTGAAGAAGAAGAAGAAGAAGAAGAAGAAGAAGAAGAAGAAGAAGAAGAAGAAGAAGAAGAAGAAGAAGAAGAAGAAGAAGACGAAGAAGACGAAGAAGACGAAGAAGGCTTACGTCAGAGAGCATCCCACCCATTTATGCCAGGACGTAATTTCCCCAGCCAACGCAGGGGATTCTGGGAGGAAAGGTTAATGATCTCCGGGAACATGATAATGGAAGCGGACTCTAAACACCGAACTATTGTAGGTGGAAACACAAAATCCGTAACATACAAGCAGATTTCTGTGAGAGGTAAATGTTATCACGCCTGCGCCACAATTATTTCGTGTAACATCAAAAGCGCTCTCTGTATGCGAATGTAGCTACTAGTGTGGCTAGCCAGCCATAGCTGGCCATTGTTTTTGTTTAGTAAACGAAGTGAAAGCAATATAAAAATAGTGTTTTCCCCAGCCGAGGAAGGGCCCAGCAGTGGGGCAGACTGTTTGAGTAATGAAGTTTGGTTTCTCTCGGGAAGATGGATGAAAAGTCCACCAACCAACACCGGCTCTATATTGCCCTGGTGATGGTGTTGCTCTTTGGTGTCATTGTGCTTCAGTACGTTTGTCCTAGCTCCGATTGCCAGCTGTTGCACCTAGGATCATTGTCCTCCAAGTCGGGCGGCAATGCCATTGGGTCCCGGGAAGAGATAAACGACATTGGCCTCAGTGGAAAGGACCCGTACGTCGCTGAGGACGGTGCCCTAGCCCGGTTCGTTCCCCGCTTCAATTTCACAACTTCCGACCTCAGTCGCCTCGTAGACTTCAATATCAAGGGAGACGATGTTATTGTTTTTCTTCACATCCAGAAGACAGGGGGCACAACCTTTGGTCGACATTTAGTGCGTAATATTCAACTCGAGAGGCCTTGTGAGTGTCATGCTGGCCAAAAGAAATGTACCTGTTACCGGCCAGGTAAAAGGGAAACGTGGCTTTTCTCCCGGTTCTCCACCGGATGGAGCTGCGGTCTTCACGCGGACTGGACGGAGCTGATCAACTGTGTGCCGTCCCTCATGAACATGCGTGAGCCACCCAAGAAGCCTACAGTTCCCAGGTGAGTGTCACTCAAGAGAATGGCGAGGAATGGATTTGAAATGAATTGTAGACGAATATTTCAATTTGTTCAGCATCTTCTCCCTAAATTGAATTCACAGCCCGTATTTTATTATGTATGATCATTCAGAGGATTGACAAATGCATCCATGCTTCTGTAGGGTTGAAAGGGGGGGGGGGGGGTTACATCTGCAGGCACCAGAACAGACTATGGCAGGCGCACAGTACTACATAGAGCCATGACTACATGGAACTCTATTCCACATCAAGTAACTCATGCAAGCAGTCAAATTAGATTTAAAAAACAGATAAAAAAATACACCTTATGGAACAGCATGGACTGTGAAGCAACACAAACAATGGCACAGAACCATGCATACATACGCACTTAACACGTACACATGGATTTTGTGTTATAGATATGTGGTAGTAGAGTAAGTGCCTGAGGGCACACACTTAATGTGTTGTGAGATCTGTTGTGAATGTATTGTAATGTTTTTAAAATTGTATAACTGCCTTAATTTTGGGGATCCATAATACATAGAAATAGCTCTATTGTGACATTTCATCCCAGTCCTCTGGAGTGCAGGAGTGAGCCTCAACTTTCTCTTTTACAACTGATGTGTGTGGCTAAATGCGTCTGACATGATTTCGTTTTCTTCGTTTGAGTGGTAATCGTGATTTGCCTGGTGGTGTTAGTGTTTGTGTAGCTGCTCTTATGTCTCTCTGGGTCAGTGTAAAATGTGTTGTGAGCCTAGTTGTTGGGGAAATTTGTGTTTTTGGGAGGTGTAAGAATTAAATATTGTTGGCACTCTGCATGAACTCACACTTTGAGGGCATGATTGGGTGGGTGTGTTGGGTGATCTGCAGAGAGACTGGGGTAGACCAGTGAGAGGGTTGGGAACTTGGAAGACGGGAGCATACAGAGGCTGTGTCCCAAATTACCCCCTATTATTCCTCTATATAGTGCACTGGTTTTGATCAGAGGCCCTGGTCAGAAGTAGTGCAGTGAGTGAGTGAGCAGTGAGGCCATTTAGTTGGTTATTATTAGATTAGGTGACATTACAGAGGTGCTGAATCCAAAACCCCAAATATAAAGACAAATTAACTGACCTAGGTCTCTTCTCTCTCAGCCGGAACTACTACTACATCACCATCCTGCGTGACCCGGTGTGGCGCTACCTGAGCGAGTGGCGGCACGTGCAGCGCGGTGCCACCTGGAAGGCCTCCCTGCACGTGTGTGACGGGCGCGCCCCCACTCTGGCCGAGCTGCCCAGCTGCTACCCCGGGGATGACTGGTCGGGCTGCTCCCTGAAGGATTTCATGGACTGCCCCTACAACCTGGCCAACAACCGGCAGGTCCGCATGCTGGCAGATCTCAGCCTAGTGGGCTGCTACAACGTCTCGGCCATGAGCGAGGAAGAGCGCTGGGCCGTGTTATTAGAGAGCGCCAAGCGGAACCTGCGGGGTATGGCCTTCTTCGGCCTGACAGAGTACCAGAGGAAAACCCAGTACCTGTTTGAGAAGACCTTCCGCCTGGCGTTCATCGCCCCCTTCACCCAGATCAACGGCACGCGGGCGGGCAGTGTAGAGGTCGCCCCTGAGACGCAACACCGGATCCGCCAGCTGAACCAATGGGATGTGGAGCTATACGAATACGCCCGTGACCTGTTCCTCCAGCGCTTCCAGGTGGCCCGTCAGCAGGAGAGGAGGCAGGCCAGAGAGAAGAGGCAGCAGGAGAGGAGGAGGCTCCGAGGGAGGCTGGGGTCAACTAGGCTGGGGATGGGGTGGCCGGTGGCGGTGTGGCCCAGCGACAAGCCCCAGTGGACAGAGACCCAGGCTGGGGAGGCGATCACCACCCACCTACGACCACCCCCACCACCCTCCCCAGAGATGAAGCAGCAGGAGGGGGAAGATGGAGAGGCGGTGGAGGCTGAAGTGCGGCTGCCAGAGTGGTGGGATCTGGAGGAGAACAGCACCATGGAGGACTACATGGACAATGTGGAACAGTGGCGGTAGTAGTGAGAGGACCAAGCCGAAGAGGGAGGGAAGGGTTGACTGACTGAGCCACGTGAATTTGCCAGGCTTGCCTTGTCTGCACAGACATTATGTGTGTGTCCCAATATCTCCTTTCTCCCGAAGTGTGCACATATTCACGTCCCTTCATGGATTTGAAAGGAAATGACTGGTATAATAAAATAGGGAATAGTGAACAAATGCACACTTCAGGAACAAAGAGATATGGGACACATCCATTATCAAAACTCAACGCTAACCACGCACAGCTCCCTTTAGCCTGCATTCCAACCTTTAGTCCAGGGATTCCCAAACTTTTTGGCCCATGACTCCATTTTGATATGTGAAAATTCTCGCGACCCCAACCATGTGAAGTTTACATTTTTAATTGGGGCTATGGAAGTCAATTGCAAATTAGTCTGACATAATTGATCTTATCTCACCACCACTAATGAGATGGGTTTGCTTGATGCATGTCGCGTCGGAGCTTCTCAAAGTCAGGGGGCATGGTCGACAGTGCGCATCTCATCTCCTGTCACATCCAACCTGGATCGATATTTGTTTTTAATGCAGACTCGGAGGGAGATGGCACATTATTCCCTTTGAGTCAGGAACCAAAACTCCTCCATAGTGACCTGTGAATGCGTTGTCTGCAGCATTCGGTCACATGACAGCTCGATCAGCTGTTCCATTTCACTTACCGGCATGTCAACTGAGCCAGGATCACAGTCAAACGGATTTCGCTGATTTGGTCACTCATCTATATAATTTTTTTATATTTCCCCTGCATGTTAAGTTCCCCAAATATGTCTTACATTTTTCTTTTCATTATACAGAAAGTCAACAGTCTGTTTTTTACATCCATTGCGAATGACAACAGTTCCTCTCTCAATTCAAAAAATCGTTCCAACACTCCCCCTCGATAACCACCAAGCCTCGGTGTGAAATAGAACATTGTCATGCTCTGATCCCATATCTCCACATAGTTTTGCGAACAGGCTTACGCAATGTAGTTTACAATCGAAGTTACCTGCTGCATATCTCCGAGTTCTCTGCACAGCTCTTTTGCCACCAGTTGCTCTCGGTGTATCCATTGTTGCTCAGTGGGTGTGTCATACAATGCGTCCATATGGCAGAGGGAGACATTCATAACTAGAGTGCAAAGGCCTGCCCGCCGTCCTGTGATAGATGGAGCCCCAACTGTGCAAAAGCCCATTCAATTCCATGGAATCTGTTTTTCGTCAATATTGCCACGCAGCACACAGAACATCCCCTGTGCCGTTTCATGCTCGGGAATCGTGAGACCGAACAATATGTCCTCGTGAATAGCATCCCCCGACATGTAGCGAACAAAAGTCTATGCATCTCGGCTTTCACAGCTAACATCCAATTGGAGAGCATTGATGTGAGTTTCTGTGCCTCTGCCTCCCCACAAATTGTTTTCACCATATCAATTGCGGTTGGTAAAGTCTCTGCAATAGTGTGTGATTTCATAGCATAGCGGGCTTAGCCATTCACCGTGGGAATAATTCAAGTGCAACGGTCAAGTGTGGCCTTTTCCCATGATCTAAGGGCGCTCTCTGGTTTAATTTTAGCTTCTCGATTTGAATAATTATCATTTCGATTTTTAAGGTTAACCACATTACAATGATTTTGCGAGACAGACGATATTTTAATATTTTATTTTACAGGATTTTGGAAATTCTCCCGTGACCCCATTTTCATATCAGGTGACCCCTATGGGGTCGCGACCCCTAGTTTGGGAACCGCTGCTTTAATCCATGGCCAGTTTTCAGTTTCGCAATACCTACTAATGTTTCTTGAATGTAATTTGTTTTCGTGTACTTCACTACATTTCTGAGAGAGAATCCAGGGCTTGTCCCAATTGGTACCCTATTCCCTAATATAGTGCATCACCACCAATCCCATTCCCCTCACAATCACCCAAGCCTTCTGAGGTTCTGGTGCAGAACTCTTGGTTACTAGTACATATCAGGCTAAAAAAATGTTTCCCTTAGAATTATTTTGATATTGAGGTACAGTTCATTCAGACCCCTTGACTTTTTCCACTTTTAGTTACGTTACAGCCTTATTCTAAAATGGATTCAATCGTTTTCTCCTCTCATCAATCTACACACAATACCCCATAATGACAAAGCAAAAACAGGTAAGGTATTTAACAAATTATATATACATTTTAAAACATTTTTTAAAAAATGTCCGCTTTGTCATTATGGGGTATTGTGTGTAGCTTGAGGATTTTTATTTATTTAATCTATTTTAGAATAAGGCTGTAACGTAAAAAAAAATGTTTAAAAAGTCAAGGGGTCTGAATACTGTCTGAATGCACTGTATAATACATTTTTTTTTACCGATTTTGTTTGAAAGAGAATAAGCTATGTTTTTGTTTTCACTGAGATTTTTGTATTCATATTATGCTACTAAATTATTTTGTCATGACTTGTGTAGGTAAAGCTGTTGAATAATTTGTCTGAGGACCTGCAGCTCACAAATGACTGAGAAAGACTTGATGTGATGGTGCAGAAAGAAACACATTTCTCACTAAATTAGATTTGTATAATTACCTCAATCAGTAGCACACTTGTCGATGTTATATTCACTTCTTCTTGTGCTATCCTTGTCTCTTCATTTGTATATAAAACACAAATTATTCACTGGTGTCATGTCTTCTTACTAATATGCTATAGTTTGTTGGTATGTCCACATCCTTACTACACATGTGGAACCGACACACTTGCCTCTGGTTGGTACAAATTTGAAGTTGCCAGCCAGGTCACGATTGGACCATCATAATCCAGTGTTGTCTCATCGTTGCCTTCTCTGTTTGCTCCAGCAGGAGGTGCCAAATCCGTGTGACCACAACTGTCTCCACTGAAAATGTAATCTCTATAGTTTTTAAAAAATGAATCTTGTCTAGTCTAAATGATAATCCCTGTCTGTGTAAATTATACTTTGGATTTATTACTTGATGATTGTGCATAGAAATAAATTGATGGAAATCTGAATGTTGCACATGCTACAATAACACCACAGTGCACCATGAATAGGTACCATGGATGTGTTCAGTAGATCTCAACGTTTTGGAACGTTCTTATAGAAATATGCTATGTAGAACAAACATGCCTCTCTGACGTAGAATAAGGAATCACGTAATCTCTATTCATGTCATTTCTATCTGCAACATTTGGCTACTGAACGTGGCCCAGGCATACAAGTAGGGTTATACTTAGTTGTGTCTGGCACATTTTTACAGTTGAGTCATTAATAATATTCTGCATCTGATATAGAATACAGGCTGTTATGACAGTGGCTACCTTGTAATTCCAATTAAGACATGAGTCTATAGGCCTACCTGTGGTTGTGGCCATGCCATAAGGCAGGGGTTTTCAAGCTGCTCTTGCCCAGGGACTCCCATCATACAGTAGTCAAAAGTTTGGACACACCTACTCATTCCAGGGTTTTTCTTTATTTTTTACTATTTTCTACATTGTAGAATAATAGTGAAGACATCAAAACTATGAAATAACACATATGGAATCATGTGGTAACCAAAAAAGTGTTAAACAAATCAAAATATATTTTATACTTTAGATTCTTCAAAGTAGTCACCCTTTGACTTGATGACAGCTTTGCATGCTCTCAACCAGCTTCATGAGGAATGATTTTCCAACAGTCTTGAAGGAGTTCCCACATATGCTGAGCACTTGTTTGGCTGCTTTTCCTTCACTCTGCGGTCCAACTCACTAGTTTGTCCCCGGTAATGCGTTGTGCAGACCGCACCACCCTCTGGAGAGCCTTGCGGGCGGTGCAGTTGCTGTACCAGGCGGTGATACAGCCCGACAGGATGCACTCAATTGTGCATCTGTAAAAGTTTGTGAGGGTTTTAGGTGCCAAGCCACATTTCTTTAGCCTCCTGAGGTTGAAGAGGCTTGGTTGCGCCTTCTTCACCACACTGTCTGTGTGGGTGGTCCATTTCAGTTTGTCAGTGATGTGTACGCCAAGGAATTTGAAGCTTTCCACCTTCTCCACTGTGGTCCCGTCGATGTGGATAGGGCGGTGCACTGTCTGCTGTTTCCTGAAGTCCACGATCATCTCCTTTGTTTTGTTGATGTTCTGTGAGAAGTTATTTTCCTGGCACCACACTCCCAGAGCCCTCACCACCTCCCTGTAGGCTGTCTCGTCATTTTTGGTAATCAAGCCTACTACTGTTGTCGTCTGCAAACTTGATGATTGCGTTGGAGGCGTGCTTGGCCACGTAGTCATGGGTGAACAGGGAGGACAGGAATGGGCTGAGCACGCACCCTTGTGGGGCCCCAGTGTTGAGGATCAGCGAAGTGGAGGTGTTGTTTACTACCTTCACCACCTGGGGGCGGCCCGTCAGGAAGTCCAGGACCCAGTTGCACAGGGCGGGGTTCAGACCCAGGGCCTCGAGCTTAATGATGAGCTTGGAGGGTACAATGGTGTTGAATGCTGAGCTATAGTCAATTAACAGCATTCTTACATAGGTATTCCTCTTGTCCAGATGGGATAGGGCAGTGTGCAGAGTGATGGCGATTTCATCGTCTGTGGATCTATTGGGGCGGTAAGCAAATTGAAGTGGGTCTAGGGTGGCAGGTAAGGTAGAGGTGATATGATCGACTAGTCTCTCAAAGCACTTCATGATGGTGAGTGCCACGTCGGTGTCACTGTGTTATCCTCAAAGCGGGCAAAGAAGGTGTTTAGCTTGTCCGGAAGCAAGACGTCGGTCTCGGCGACATGGCTGGTTTTCCTTTTGTAGTCCGTGATTGTCTATAGACCCTGCCACATACGTCTCGTGTCTGAGCCGTTGAATTGCGACTCCACTTATACTGACGTTTTGCTTGTTTGATTGCCTTGCGGAGTGAATAACTACACTGTTTGTATTCTGCCATATTCCTAGTTACATTGCCATGGTTTCTACTATTTAGCGAGAGGCAGGTCCTATTTCTATAGAAGAAGCCCAT